TTCAACGTCTCTAAGGATATTATTGCACCCATCACCATGTTAAAATAACTTATAACTACCTTGAAAGTCTTGTAAGTCCGACGAATGAACTCATTTATCCCAATAGCCTAAAGGCAGCCCTACGAACCTGCTCGCTCACCTTCGATTTGCGATATTCTGCAGCGATGTAAAAGGCTGGTTTCTTTTGTTGAAACAGCCCCTGGAGAAAGAGGCTTCAAAACCACAAACGGAAAGTTACACTTAGACCTCGAAAATTAGAGACAAACAATAATGAAACAAAGCCTGTGTCGATAAATACTCGTTCGCTAGTTAGCAACATTCATCACCATTAATTTTAGATTTTTACTGTCAAGTAAAATGTGAACTGCGCGGACGAGTGGCTATCACCGCAGCAGGTTCTGGGTTCAAATTTCGGCATCGGGGTAAGTTGTTATAAAGACGAAAGCCTTCTTGAACAGACGTTTCAGAAGCGCTAAGTACCGACATGTTTCGTAATGAATCCTGGTATTGTGGTTACCAAACTAGTCGGCAGAACTGATTTAGACGGTAGGGGCCCTGTTTACGTGCTGCCCTGCTGACGTGGAACGGAATATGTCGTCAGAAGCGGTGTAATGTCACGTCTCTCAAGGACGTCAGACTTGGGCCTGAATGTGAAAGTGTTGCAGTTTCTGCCTCTAGACAAACAAGCAGCAGCTGTACACAGCGATAAACCAGGCTATTTCAGCAGCGCCATTCTAATTTCACCCACCAGCTTCTTAATTAACTATCAAACATCTTTCTTTTTGCGGATGTCAGAGTTGAAAGGTCAATCTGATTACTGTAACACTGATTATGATGTCCCTTATTATGTAATTCCTTACATCTTAATAAATACGTTCAAATATGCTCTCCGGCACTTAGTTATTCAAAAATGTTCAATCTGAGTATTTACAAAGAAATTAGTACACATTTTGTACGTGTAATGTGAATTTCAGATTCCAACTACAATAACAGTGAAGAGGCTGACCTACTTGGGGAACAAGACTGGAGTACACGTAACTTCCAAATAACCTTCTTTATGAGTTTACATTCAGTATCTCACTATCCTCGACATTCAGTTGTGCTGCAGATACAAATGTATTAACGCGAATTTGATAACACTACATGCTGCATGTAATATATATATATATATATATATATATATATATATATTAGAATTTCATTAAATTCCACTACATCTACAAATGCAAGCGTTTTATAAGATAATTTTTTATTTTACGTTTTGCAGTCCTACAAATTTCGATACGAAGGGTAATTTCTGCAAATAAAAGACACAGTTACAATTCAGCTTCACGTGAAGGAGGGATTTTTTATCGAACCAACACCGATAGCATTTATTAAAACCGCCTGACGAGTTTTAATGATCAATTCCTTGAACCGAATTTGATGGATTAATTTAATTGGGTGATTGACTTAGGAAGTAAAACAAAGTGTTCCGCGGATAGCAGATCTGTAATCTGGGTTAGAGGGCAAGAAGATGAACCAGAGTCTCGAACATACGTGTAGCTGGTAAACGAAGCTGTGAATTCTGAGAAGAACGTTTCTGGGAGAAAAATGCACCGGAGTAGAAGAAAGATGAAGACGAAACAAAATAAAAAAAAATACATAGGGGAATTAAAGGTTTCAAGATGAAGGGGGGAAACAAACGAAGAGCGAAGAATGAGTAGCATCGAGTATAAAGAAAGGGAAGGTTTATAACAGAACGAGGAAAAAGCAACTAAAAGGTTAGCCTACGCGAATCTGGGAGCTTTTAAACTGTGCTTTCGAGACCTTGAATACCACGAAACTGAAAGAAAAACTATCATACGACAAGGTCTTCAGCCTCCACACATTAGGCCCAAGGTTTTCAGACTTCACAGAGATCTCAAGATTTTTTTTTCCGCTGTGAAAGTTTAATGCTCTGTTCATACATCGTCAGTACCTTCGAATGTTAAAAGTATTCACACACATCGAAAAATAATACAGTTTCCATCTTCAGGGTAAATAAATATGACAACTACAATGTTGGCCGAAACGTCGGAAAACTTTCACAATTCGACAACGCTCTTACCCGAAAGCCGAAGTTATACTTTGCCGTTTCAGTAGAATGCTTTTCTAGCAGTGTATAATTCCCGTGTACATTTTGAGTTGACAGATTTGTGTAGATTTCGATAGCAGTGTTATATCCGTACATTGAATTTCGCGACAGTTCCGGTTCAGATGTCACTTGGAAATCTACTCTTCTAGTGAACTCATTCCACCGCGTTTATTTTTGCTGAGTGTGACAGTATTTTATTTACAAGAATATTAAGTTTACCTGTTACTGGTACTTTAAGCATTGTCATCCGAAATATTTTCAGATAAAATATAAAATTATTTTTAAATTTTTATTTCGTTGCATAGATTTTCCCTTAACTTATTCAAATATCTTACTTTTACACAATAAAATTAAAAAAAATCCTACACCATTTCAAATTTCTCAGCCAAGTTACGCTCAAGTATACGGATGTTTTTCAACCCCCCCCCCCCCCCCCCCCCAGTTTCCTCTTGCTTATTTGTATTTCTGGATATGTTCGTGCTCTAATGCATATAATTAATTTCTCTGTTCGAACAGCTGATGAACCACGTGTCCACAGTAATGACTAAGACACTTCGCACGTGTAATTCAACGTCCAGTCCAGTGACACCAATTACTCTTACAAACACAGTAACAGACGCTGACTGGCACGTTTAATGAACAGTTCACCCCAAGATAAGTTCACTTACCCAACCACTTTACATACAACACGTGCTTATAACCAGACTCCTTCATGGTCGCTCTGTACCACAGTATCAAAATACAAGACAATCAATTTGTTGAACTCTAAACATATTTTGCGACGGGCTGTTCACTCGTCCAAGGAATCCCTACCAAACGTCTAAAAATAGACCAGTAACCTCCTAAAGGAGGCCCCTATGCTCCACGTAGGAGAGAAAGGCTATAAGAATAAGAAACATATTCTGAATCCTGTAAATTAGGTACTAAAATGTATAGACCTATAAGTGCCTATTAAGTCACTTGTGTCAAAATTAATATAAAAATTCTCTGCAGTACTTCAATAGTAGTGTAATATGAGTTTGTAATTATAAAGGGATTTTAACTCTAGAGGGCTCAATTAATAAAATAAAAAGAAAAACATTAAATTTCTAACAGTCCCTTAATTGATGTAATCTAGAGAGTACTTTAACTGTCGGAGGGGGCGGATTAACTCCATGGAGCAGTGTCCAATTTGAGACGCCAATAGTTCGCGTCAGTCACTTTATTACCTGAATTTTACAGAACCCAGAGCCAATTTTAAACCGTGTTCTGAGCCAGATTAAACCTGTCCATATTTTCACGCCAAATTCCTCTAGCATCCAGTTTAATATTCGCCCATCTACGTCTAGGTCTCTCATGTGGTTTCTTCCCTTTAAGAATTCCGACTAAAATTCTGTATGAGTTTCTCATTTCTCTTATTCTATATCTCGTAAATCTCATATGAATAAACTTCATTATTACAGAATTTAGTGTGGAAACAACTTGGAATATTTATAATACAGGGTACATAAGAGGTTCTTGCCAGACTGTTAAAATTTACTGATTTATTATTACAGTATGGCTTCCTGGCTCATACGAAAGACAAACATTGTACGCAATATATGATTTTTAAGAAACACTCCGTCAAATTGGCTTTAGTCCAAATCAAGTTTCACTTTTAAAAATGGCTATTAGGTCCACAAATTAAAATTTCACCTTAGCAAACAAGTTCAGCAACGTCTGAAAGCAACCGGAACATCGGATATCCTGCATTGACCATCACAAAACCGTCCTAAACAGAATAACAATTCAGACTTTACGAAATTTCTGTACGTACTAATTTTCCGCTATCATACTCAGCTTTCACTTGAAGCATTTTAAATGTCATAATATTATGAAATGATGACGATATTGTTTTGCAAAAGTTACAAAGCAATTTTGTTATCGGGGTTGAATATTGCCCACTGCGTGAGGTGTACTTAATAGTTACGTAAGAAAATGCAATGTGGATTACATTACATCAAATAACCAAATATGTGAAAAAGCACATTCAACACACAGGGCAATAAACAAAATTAAACAAAACACGGTTCAGATACATTTGATAAGACCCAAACGAGAATGGTACATAAAAACATGAAGGACAGAATATATTTACAAATATAAGAGAAAAAAAGTTCAATGACATTTCGCTGTGATACGAAATCTGAATATGATTTTTTCTGTATAAGAATTTAGAAAAGTAGATAAATATGGTCCAAGGCCTGCATTTCGAAGCTGAGAGTATGTGGAATGGAAATGAGATCAGAAGATGCCCTCTATTTAGGCAGGAAGATGCCTTGTATATATTATTAACATTTTCAGTAAAGAGAGACTACAACACAAAATGACATACTCTTAATGAAAAGGTGGCTTTTAAGACAGTAATACATTGTACTAATCCTGTAGAACTAAGGAATATAGAAAAATGGATAAAATCAGACGTAAACTTAAAAATATAATATGTAATATGTAAAGAAAATAGGATGAGGGGAAGTAGATTTATATTTATAAGTACAAATATCGTACGGCAAACGAGCAGAGCCATTATACAATGTTATATTTGAACCGTGGACCGTAAAAGAAAGGCGTGTAGAAAACTAAATAAATTATTGACTGAAATTAGAAAAATACAGACAGTTTATAATGTCTAGCATGATATACTAAACACAGAGTAAATGTACAAATTGCATAGGATTCTTCAAAATGACTCGTATTTCAAATGTAATACCTGCCTTATAAACAGGCCGTACCACAAACTTTTACAGAACAACGTGGCATAGAACCACAATCAACAAATTGTAATCTCAAGGCCGATGTTTCGATATGGCAACAAGTCCTACCGTATCCTCGGGAGTATTTACGTAAGCCAAAAATACGATCTCACCTGGAATCGAAAGCTGTTCCATCCTGAAGTGTTCCTTTGTAGTGCATCGTAAGCATATCACCGTTCTTAGACTTTACGTCACACACTTCTGGAGTGTACAATATTTCAGTCTTCAGTTCTTCTGTCGCGCCAGAACTAACAGTTTCACTTGCAGAATTTTTCCCAGATGATCCGTCCGTAGCAGCGAAAACTATAGTTACGAAGGTAAAAAGTAACAAACACGTTGTTACAGGACTACGGTGAACACACGAGGGCATTTCCATGGCGATGGGCGGCGTGTTGTGAAGGAAAACACTTGTAGCGTGGCTATTGACCGACTACGAACAGAGACCCTCTTGCAGTGACTGCCACGCAACACGCCTGCTTGTTGCTTATCTTCGGCTGTTCTCCCTACTCTCTCCCCACCCCGATCTCATCGCACGCGTAAAACACAGCGCACTGTATTACCGTCCTAACTCCAGCCCAAGATAAACCAGTTCGGAAATCGACTTCCCGTTACAAAAGAATGAAACGAATTCGAATATTGCGGAGTTATGTCTATTTAATTAATTAATTTGTCCGTCTAATCACAATTTAAAATTTAAAATTAAGATAATTAAAATACCATGTGATGCTCCTTATCGAAACATTCGACTTATATTTAGAGCATCACTTAATTAAATATATATTTTCACAATATGACGCAACTCTTATCATCTTATGAGGAGTTATGGTCTGTTCGAATATTCCACACGCATCTGCGGTGTAATCTAAACCTCATCGGCGAATTGAATTTTGGTTCATATCATATGACACCTTCTCATGAACCGAATATATTTTCTTGTAAAATGATCACCTTACAAATAAGTCGTAAAAGATATAACATAATTCACTGTTACATCAACTAAAGAAAGGAAAATATTCATAGCCTGTATAAGTGTATATAATTTTTCCCCGTTATCTGATTGGTGCGCATGGGGGAGACTAGAAATGCGTACAAAATTTTAGTTGGAAAGTACGAAAAGAAGAGACTACTAGGAAAACCTAGGCTCAGACGAAATCAAAATATTAAAATGGATCTAAAGGAAACAGA